TTAGTGTATCTGAGAAAGGTTCAATGTTTTTGTGCATGTGGAGTAGGAGAGTTTGTGACTATCAACGATGTTAAGAGTTGAAACAATTATTAAGCAAAGATTCAGCGTATCATAAGACAATTTGTACGTATTTTTTGTATTCATTGGCGATCAATAACAAAATTGCATACTGGTATACTTATCAATTACTGAGAAATTTATGGATACCATTTAAAAAAACGGGTCAGAAATTACACTGAATAACACAAGTGCCAGAAAGTAGGTAAAGAATGACACACTTGCTAGCGCTGACACAGGACAATTTCAGAAGTTTCACCAAGCTCTTCAGTAAACAAAAGAAGTCAACATTTAGTCATCTAGCTGCAAAAGGCCTATTAAGTAATACCCACATAATAAGTATTATCCACATATTACCCACATATTATGTACAGGGTTCAGATATGACGTTCTTGATGACCCAAGTAGCTGCCCAGTAACTTGGTTTGTAAGTAATCTGCATATATGAATGCTCTGCGTGGACGGACATTTTTATCTTCTAAAATTGTTTCTTGAAAGCCCTCTAGCTAATGGGAGGTGGGTGGTATGTAGAATAATCCTGTATTTGACGTGGTTCAGGTATCCATCGACGACCAATTGGTTTTTGGCACCAACGTGAATAACACCCCAAATACATATGCTCCCACCACCCAGAGTCACTCTATGAGCGGCACACACTACGTCATATGCCTCTCCAGGATGTCTGCGAGCTCTAATTTAGCACCTTGGCGATACAGTTGAACTTTTACGCCATAAATAAAAACTATATGGTTCCAGTGTTGTACTCGGAAACGTTAATGGTTCCCAACTCATCGCATATATAAAAGGCGGTGTTGTACTGTCCACTTTGACAAAATAAATGTGGAAGGCTTTAGATCATTGATTTCGGAAATAGCTCTGAAACCAATTTTCAGACAAATTTCAATTGAATCTACATGGTAATTATGTGGAGGAGTAAATCATGTAAGTAAAACCGTCATTTCATGAGAAATCTCTGGGGTCCGCCATATAGATAAACGTCCCAATAAAATATTCGTCCCGATAGATACGTCTCTATACATACACGTCTCAATAGATTTACGTCTCGTTAAATTTACGTGCCGATAGATCCACCAACAGTTTCCTATAACCCACGTATCTTTAGATCCAGGCACCGCTAGATCGTGGGTTTATGAGGACGTCGTATCTATAGGAACGCAAATTTATAGGACGGTGGTAAAAAATCGGATCTATCGGTATTTAAATCTAAAAAGACGTTTTTTCAGTTTTCCCTTTATGTATCTATCGGGAACGGGAGTATAGGGACCTGTAATATTTTGGGACTAAATTTTATCCGTACGTAAATCTAAACACCTTGCACACAAATGTATGTTACATTATATAAGCTTTCAAAGTTCAAATTAAAGTCTTACACACGTGCACTTTAGTCACGTGTAATAACATTATGCATCAAAAGCAATTTTTCATTTACGTGTTTTAAAATAATTAAAATTCAACATATAACATAACATTATATATAGAAAGCTTATTATAAGAATGGTCTTTTTTGGAAAATGAAAGTGCGTGCCCCGAAGAGCCTTATGAATTAAGAAAATTATATATATATTAATGCGCTTCATACAAATTACTTATGAAAAATATATATTTCACTTGGGATAACAATTACGGAAAAAGCCGATTGGGATGGTAACTTTCTCGTCTTCACTTCAGCATTGCTTTAGATGTGCCGGTGTTTTAGTGTAATTGTGTTATGACGTCATCACTTCATGCGGTCGTCCAATGATATTTGAGAATCCAAGGATAGACCCGTGACGTTCACATCGCTATTGTTTGCAAGTTTACGAGCATTCTCTTGGCCTCTCAGGGGGTACGCTTCAAAATAGTCCGTGTACGGACTATTGCGTTTAATTTTTTCCTAACAGTATATCTGGAATGTATATTTCCAGCGATTATGGCTACTGCAACGCGACATATCCTGACAGGGTTCCTGATCATGACAGCCGGCGGAATACTTCTCTGGATGTATATGTTCAACATCTCTGGACATTACGATTACAAAGCAGTTAAAACGCTGTATGCTAGAAAGGTAAAGAATTATGTAAATTATGTAATCTGTTCACAAACGACCGCGACGTTAATGTTTCTATGTTTTATCTAGTTGTGACCACTGACANCAACAGGAGCTATTGGTCATGTTGATCACGCCCCCAGGGCACAGAGGGAACACAACTGCCACCTGCTGGAAAAGACGCTTCTGGACTGGCATCTCCTGTCTCAGTGTGACGTTTTACTTCATAGCAGAAGTGGGTACGGTCAGCAGGCCTCCATGATGAAGGAACCCTTCACAGATGTTTATGCATTAGCATTTAATGGAACAATAACGAAACTTCAGAAACCTGACTTTAAACAACCTGGAGGATACATGGACACATTGTTCAGAAACATGACAGAAAAATATCAATAGTATCTTTCGCAGTTTACTTTGTACTAGGAAGTTCTTCATTTCAAGGAGATGTCAATAAGAAAAAAAAAATAAATATTTATCATATTGCAATTAGCTATATTTTCATCTAACATTCATTTTTCTTTACATTTGAAAGATTGCTCAAAATTATGATATGATAAAAAATGTTTTTAAAACTATTTATGATATTATGAAAAGTCTGAAATGCTTTCTTGAGATGACAGAAGGAAAAAAAACAAACAAAATACCGGTACTATTCACTGCAGTGCTATATCACCTGCTGAAGGTGAGGTGTTTGGAATAACATTCGTTTGCCTTGTTTGTCATTATAATCATAGAAACGTAAATAGGCCTGACAGCACAGGCGCGTGCACAGACCAACAATATTGTGAGTGGAAACTTGACACCGAAATAAACCGTTAGAAGTTTAAGACGACACGAGCTTGCAGCACGTGCGATAGAAGGGATGCGAGTACAGAGAACAATATCCTCTATCACTGGGACGCCAATAAACTTTGGTAAAAACAACTTGTTTGAGCCCGACTTTTCGATTTATTAAGACAGGGCTGGCACCCCTTGCCAGGAAAATAATGCATTGTCCCTGATAATTTTTACAAGAAATAAATTGCTTATACACGAGAAGTCTATAACTGAATTACAAAGTCGGGAAAGCGTTAAGATTTAAAAGTCTTATCAAGTTTTTAAATTTACTCATGAATTTTTATCACATTCATAAGTGCTTTTTTCACACTCTCGCCTAATGCAAGTGTGCGATGAATGCAGTGACCATAGCAACCATGTCAGAAAAAGAGCAATGTTTAGGTTATTAGTGTGAATTGCTATTGTATCTGAGAAAGGTTCAATGTTTTTGTGCATGTGGAGTAGGAGAGTGTGACTATCAACAATGTTAAGAGTTGAAACAATTATTAAGCAAAGATTCAGCGTATCATAAGACAATTTGTACGTATTTTTTGTATTCATTGGCGATCAATAACAAAATTGCATACTGGTTTACTTATCAATTACTGAGAAATTTATGGATACCATTTAAAAAAAACGGGTCAGAAATTACACTGAATAACACAAGTGCCAGAAAGTAGGTAAAGAATGACACACTTGCTAGCGCTGACACAGGACACTTTCAGAAGTTTCAACAAGCTCTTCAGTAAACAAAAGAAGTCAACATTTAGTCATCTAGCTGCAAAAGGCCTATTAAGCAATACCCACATAATAAGTATTATCCACATATTACCCACATATTATGTACAGGGTTCAGATATGACGTTCTTGATGACCCAAGTAGCTGCCCAGTAACTTGGTTTGTAAGTAATCTGCATATACGAATGCTCTGCGTGGACGGACATTTTTATCTTCTAAAATTGTTTCTTGAAAGCCCTCTAGCTAATGGGAGGTGGGTGGTATGTAGAATAATCCTGTATGTGACGTGGTTCAGGTATCCATCGACGACCAATTGGTTTTTGGCACCAACGTGAATAACACCCCAAATACATATGCTCCCACCACCCAGAGTCACTCTATGAGCGGCACACGCTACGTCATATGCCTCTCCAGGATGTCTGCGAGCTCTAATTTAGCACCTTGGCGATAGAGTTGAACTTTTACCCCATAAATAAAAACTATATGGTTCCAGTGTTGTACTCGGAAACGTTAATGGTTCCCAACTCATCGCATATATAAAAGGCGGTGTTGTACTGTCCACAGAGGATTCTACCGAGGTCGTCTGGTATAGGGTGATATGCTTCAACTAGTCTGGCGTTTAAAAAGGGCATTAAAGACGTTTTTTGACGTGACAAAAAACATAAAAAGGGCATTAAAGACGTTTTTTGACGTGACAATCTGCCCCTCATTCATGTGGCCAAGGATTACCTTCGTTGAGTTAATCATAAGGACAATGGCGTATAGTTCTTTGTGAAACAAAGATTTTTCTGACAATAGCTATCTTCTTCGCATCATGCTGGCATAGAATAACAATGCTGTGATACACTGATTCGGTACGTGTACGCTCTGTAAAACCTGCCACGTGTGCAAAATATCAAAATCTTCTGTTCAGGCGTTGCCGCTAACTACACATTTTTATTCACATTATTAACATGAGTTGTTAATTAAAAAAAAAAAAAACGTCTTTTACCTGTCTGAACCTTTTGAACTGAAATATTCCACACAGTTATCGTAATTATACTGGTATTTGTACTTGCCATCGGACTACGTGCCGTCGACAGACACTAATAATCTGTTAAGAGGAAAAAAACAGGGACTAACTTTCAATATGGGAACGGATTCATTAACTATTGGTAAGTATTGGCAAGTTGTCCTTTATCCCAGGAAAATCCATTTTTGGCCAAAATAAACATTTGTTATGCCTTTAATTATGCAACCAACCACACGCAACATCTGAATAAATCAAATGATTTGAGTTCATCTACAATTTAAATGAAAGAAGATTCAGAGCAAGGTATAATGCGGGTAAGACATGTTGTATTATAGTTCACATCTCTGTGGTGGTAGGATAGAATGAGCTATATCTTGTCCATGTGGACGTTCACATCGCTATTGTTTGCAAGTTTACGAGCATTCTCTTGGCCTCTCAGGGGGTACGCTTCAAAATAGTCCGTGTACGGACTATTGCGTTTAATTTTTTCCTAACAGTATATCTGGAATGTATATTTCCAGCGATTATGGCTACTGCAACGCGACATATCCTGACAGGGTTCCTGATCATGACAGCAGGCGGAATACTTCTCTGGATGTATATGTTCAACATCTCTGGACATTACGATTACAAAGCAGTTAAAACGCTGTATGCTAGAAAGGTAAAGAATTATGTAAATTATGTAATCTGTTCACAAACGACCGCGACGTTAATGTTTCTATGTTTTATCTAGTTGTGACCACTGAAGTTAAATCATTTATGCATTATTTATGGGGGCGCTTTGCTCAGGTTTTGTATTATAAACTTTTTACGTGCCAAGGGGGTGAACTCCTAAAAAGGTAGGTCCTCATCGTGCGTTTTGCCTCTTTTTGTATGTAAAGACAAGAGGTGCACACGAAATAATTAATACACGGAGGAACTAGATGTCGTGAATCTCTGAGTCCCATATATGCCCATAAGATATGGCCCAGGTGCTGGAGGCCCCGATTTTAGGGCGCATTAAAATACATACGAAGGCTCACTAAAGGATATTGTCACCCTTCACCATAAACTCCTTATTTAATGCCTTACATTCATTCTTTTGGGTAATTAATAAACCTTCAGTGTTCAGTGACTAAATTAACATTTATGCATATGCCATTTATACATATGTCATAGGCAACTCAAAGCTTTAATCGTCAGTTTAACACCTTTCTATTTTGACGTCATAATTGCGATTTTGGGGTAAAAACTGAAAAATAGGTTTCTCAAATTTCTCTTTTACCTTAGCAACCACGATCACCGTTTTATTGACACCATTTAGAACTCGAAAACCCTGCCAGCGATTTTTCTTTAAAGTCTTAGTTCAGATTTTATCGTTGATAAAGCAAAATAATACCTTTGTTTATTGCAAATCTGTAATTAGGGGCTCATAACACCACAACAAAAACATTTAAACCAAAATGACGGCATGGGATTGTAGCCTATACTCTCCTGGTCAACTCTGCCAATTTTTGTGATAAAATGTTGTTCGGGGTTGAAGTCACGCCCTATATCGCTTGCTATCTCACCTCAAAATAGAAAAGTGTTAAACTGACGATTAAAGTTTTGAGTTACCTATGCTTATACATTGCAACGAAAAAAATATAAACGCCGATATTTTATATTTTCGAGGGGTTTTTCATTTTTCTAAATCAGCACAAAGATATATGCATCATTGCATAATAAGATGCAGAAAAAACTCATTTTCGGTACCTGGATTATAATAAAAGGTTATACATGTAATTACCTTAATACAAATTTAAAATGCATAGGAAGGTTCAGTTCACTAAATGTACATTTGGGCCGAAGGAAATCAATATATATATAGCTGTTCCGTGCACACATTGCCTTGACTTTACCTCTTGTCTTTACATATGAAAAGAGCCAAAATATCCTCTCAGGTACATCATGTTTGGAAGTCAACCCCCTTTCGTCTGGGGAATATCTATACATGTACATCTCTCTGTCTTTCTATAAGGCTGTCTCCATAGAAGCCAATAAATATGGAGGAGCTATTTCACAGACGAAGAACGCCTCGTCACGGATTAAGGTCCCTGCTGTGCCTAATAACAGTACAGGTGCCCGGTACGTGGTATACATGTGTCAACACTTATGTGGAGGTTGGGGAGACAGACTCCGTGGAATTATGTCCACCTTTGCCTGGTCCGTCCTCAATGGGAGACAGTTCATCATAGAACACACTTGGCCTTGTGATTTACGTAAGTTTTTACAACCCAAGCCGCCTCTACGATGGGCCGACAACATTCCCCAGAGAAAAGGGATGACAACAAGACGCTTTAACTTGATTGACAACAACAGCTTCTTGCAAGAAATTCAAAAAACCAAAAATTTGTCAGACACGTTCCATGAAAACGTCCTGAGATTTCACACGAACGGAGACATGTTCCCCGGGTTTCGATATAACAAAGATTTACATAAAACAATTAGGCAGAGATATGGGGTCGGCTTTAAGGAGTTTACTTTTGAGAAGATGTTCAAAAGACAATACGACACTATCTTCGAAATGACACCTTATTTCAGTGAAATGTTCCAAAGTATTTTATCAGAAGCAAAACCGACTATAAAGTCAAAATTAGCATGTTTGCAATTCCGACAACTATTCCAAGCGAACAATACACAAAAGAATGCATGGGCATTTTTGAAAAATATTACGAGCAGTTTCCAGTCCTATAAAATATTCGTAACGACTGACTCTGAGGAAATACGCAAGGAAGCAAAAGAGATATTTGGCAGCGTGATAGTGGACCCAGCAGGAGCTATTGGTAATATTGATCATGCCCCTAGGGCACAGAGGGAACACAACTGCCACCTGCTGGAAAAGACGCTTCTAGACTGGCATCTCCTGACTCAGTGTGACGTTTTACTTCATAGCAGAAGTGGGTACGGTCAGCAGGCCTCCATGATGAAGGAACCCTTCACAGATATTTATGCATTAGCATTTAATGGAACGATAACGAAACTTCAGAAACCTGACTTTAAACAACCTGGAGGATACATGGACACATTGTTCAGAAACATGACAGAAAAATATCAATAGTATCTCTTGTAGTAACTTTCATTTGCAATTATTCCTTCAAGTGAATATTTGTTAAAATAAAGTTAAACGTTTTTCTTGATTGATTTAGGATAAAGTGTCAATCCATTCGAACATGCAACTGCGTTCCTCATACACATGTATAATTGAGCATTTGTATAAGTAAAGAATTTATCTATCCAATTATAAAAAGCGGAAATTGTAATCCTTTAGAGCAAAGTTTGATAAGTATAGAAGAAAAAGAAAAACAATAAATGATTATGAATTAGGGTTCAAAAACAATTTAAAATGCATTACTGTCACTCGGATGTAAACTGTTTAAAAAGCGTTTACTTCCTTTGAAAGTTAAGAGTCTACTATTAAAATGTAAAACGTGGTGATCCTGGGTGAGAACCCCCCCCCCCCGTGTTGATTTCAGTTCTTTTCTCATGCAAAGGCTTCGATTGATACAATATAGTTATGAGTCATTACACTGAATAAAACAACTGATGTTGATTGGATTTACTATACAGGCCTGCCAGACTCTGGAAATCACATTACTTTGTACATAAATGTGACCCCCTATTAATTTATATCGGTAAAAGGCGGATCTCCACATGTTTCCTTTGCTTACGTGACAGTGATGAACCTACATCAATTAGCAATTCCACTTACCTCCCACTGTTTCACAAATGAATCCGTTGGTGACCGTGGAGCAGTCAATATCCTGCCAGAAGCTTCCCCCCGCCATCACGACACAGTCTCCACTCCCGTCTGGCTCGCTGGGTACTGACGTCATGTCCCAGTTATCGTAGGTACTGTTGGTACCGTCCAGCCATACCCACTGACTACTGTTCTTGTGAAGACCTATCCAATACTTGATGGACGACGAACCTCCAACAGTGCTACATAGGTTTAATAATAAACAGGAAACATTAAAATGAAAGTTAAAAAAAAATACAATTTAAAAACAAACTTAAAAATAAGAACATTAATACAGACGGGAGTGAAACTCGATGTTTGAATATGGAAAGATGTAGTTGACGAAAGCAGCCATTTTAGGTCCTTCTTAGTTTGATTTTCTGTTGACATTCAAAAATCGATAAAAGTAGTTAAATATACATGTATGTGAATGGTCTTTCTATAACAGTTTTACTGAAAAAGTATTTTTGTACTTCTTAAAACTAACTAAGTTATCTTGAAATGTGGTTTGGTTTTGTAAAATTTAAGTAAACTGGAGAGACCAGTCTTTAAAGAGTGTTACCCACTTACAGCAAGCTGGACAGGAAGGTGTTTTCATCCACTTCTTCAATTCCAACAAGATGAGCACCACTCTGCGTTTGGCACCAGTCCTCAGCGTCTTGAAAATTCTTCGATTGCTCCACTTTAACGTAACATTGGGTGGCCTCCAAATGCCAGGTTTCTCCCGCTGTAGTAGGACAAGCTGTGCCTGGTTGAATGATAAGATATGTGTGATATCGATCTATAGTCTCTTGCCTTGGATTACCGAAATGTAATAGTTGAATTGTACGTTTCAGCATACATTAAGGCACTGCTTACAAGTATCGATCAAACTCCATTGACTTTGTCACAGTTACAAAGATAATGGAGACTTTATAGATGCCAAGTACTTTCGTCTGTATTCACCAAGATATGACTTTGATATCGTAGCAACACAACAGGAAATAAGGAATCATGTCTGAAGAGTCTTAACGTGGTTTGACCCATGAATGACATATATCTATTTTTCACTGAAGGGCTTTGACCACCCCGATGTGAGGTCAGGATGTGAGCTCAGGGATGTCATCATATACATGGGGGCTGGGGAGGGGGGGGGGGGGGCTGATGCAGCCCCTCGGACCTTGGAAGAGTCGGTCATGTGATAAAACTCCTTTGATGAGGGGTCGACACGTCATTTCTGATAGATAAAAACACGTTAAGTCTCTTCAGAGAGGATTTTAACCTTCGTTACACAAGATAAAGGAAAAAAATCACGGTTACAACGTAGTTATAATGAGATTTACTAACCGCTTGTTTTTCTGCTCAAAGACAGCAGTATAAAGGCCACAGTGATGTATTTCTTGGAGTACATAGTAAGGCTCGGTTTTACACGCCCCAAGGTGGCGTCTGTGGATTTATTTGGTCACTCAAACGGATTCATACTGAAACTAAAGCAAACACAAAACAGCAATGAAATACATTGCATTCTGAATGGCTTTCATAAGATTCATTCAATAATCTAAACAATTATCGATAACGGCTGTTTTGTTTTATTAAGGGTCCAATCAATATATGTTGAATGTACGTGGTAAAAGTCGTTTTATCAAACTGAAGAATTAGCAGGTATTAGGTATATAAAATCATGTTACCTTTTGTTGTTTATTTTGACAGAAAACAAGGGTCAAGGAAGTCAACAGAACGTTATCCTCCTATGGGTTTGTGTAGTGTGGATAATGAGGGGACTGAGAAACGGAACATTGTATGCAAGCATTTAAACAAACATGTCCACTAATAGATATTGACTTTCAAACACGGCACTGTGTTCTGGTCATGCAGTTGTAATACACTTTGTGTAAATGAGTTGTATAGGCAGCGTTTAAGACCTGAGTACTATGTACCGGGAAATAAATTATAAAAACGGCTATATTTAAATCAGTACGTGGGTGCTATGTACCAGGAAATAAGTTTAAATAGGCTGTATATAAATCAGTACTTGCTCGTTTTCAAAGCTCCAATCATGTGCGTATGACAGAAAAGAGGCATTTTAATGATAAAGTTATACATGTATGTTTATGGACTAATGACGTCTTGACTGAATTTACTGTATTTTCAATGTACAATATATTAAGGATCGGAAGCGTACAATGTACATACTAAATCACATCAAAGACCCCATTTCCAGAGATTAGATCGATCTACTTTAGATCGACCTAACTCCCTGGGGGTTAACGCTAAATAGCTGTCAGCCGAGCGGACACGAAAGTTAATTACCAGCTTACAGCTTGTAGTAGGCGGGACGGACATTTAAGCCGGATTATCTGACAGTAATATAGTGAGACTCCCCGCGGGGATAGATCGATCTAAAAGCTCTGGGAATACAGCCATAGTCTAATTTTGACTGCCATGTGAAATTCAGGGATGTGGATCTCGTGTTACTGCCACATGTGAAGCAGTTATGTAATAACACTAACCCAAAGCGCAGAATTTTTATAACAACAATAGTCCAAAGCAGTAGATGATTGTGTTCCGCACTGTTCAGTGGTGAGACTTCAACTTGAGGTGTCAGAGAAAGCAAACATAATCTTTTCAAACCCCCAGAGAGATGTATTCCCAGTAATGGATGTTACTTTTGTTATAGTACAGTGCACAGAAGGCCTCTCACTTCCCATTTTTTACGTGGAAGACAAGAAATGTAAACATCCCAATGTCGATGTGAAAGTAATGCAAATAAAGAAATAATATAAAAACGCACGATCAATATTTAAAAATGTGTCTTTGTTCCTAAGTAAGTCGTGTCTTTGAATCTTGGAGTGCATTTAGAACAGATAACTTAAAAGTGATGCCGCTAAATATCTGATTGGTGACGACACTGATGTTGAGGAACCTGAAGACTTAGTAGTAACTGTAGCCTACATACTATATGCCTTAAAATAATTATTCATACTGTTTATTGTCAAGACTTGTCTAAACTTCAAACCTCAAACTCCGTCACTCCATTTGCTTGCATGATTTGTGTACATGAAATTTGTCTCCATATTCATAAATGTAGCTGTAATGGAATTTCTTCCCTGGCATAATTTCAAAAAGTAACGAATAGTGGGTATATTATCCCTTAATATTTGGTTAAAATATAGGCCTATACTTTAGCTCATATGTTTTTTTAAATAATTATTCAAAATAACGACCCTTTTGAACTTTTTTGTTTTTGATGGAAACAAAGAGAGAGAGAGAGAGAGAGAGAGAAGCTGTGATTCAGAATGATAAAGGTCTGATTAAAATTAAGATTCTTGGTTGTTATATTCCCTCTCCCATGCCTCAGTGACACCCGCCATATACCGGATAGACCCTTGGTAGGGAGAAACACTGAACACTACAATAAGTGCCAACTTGCTTCAAGTTCACAGTGGTGTTGGTTCGTTATATTCTGGTACCGTGTACTCATTGCGCTGTATATTCTGTAAAGAGTCTACACTGAAGTTTTTTTTACCGGTGTGACTCTGGATTCTATTCCTTATACTACCATTCCTGTCATACCGGCTAACCCTAACCTGTGCAATTCATATAGGTCCCCAGACTTCCATTCTTAGGACTACCATTCCTTTCACTCCTACAGCTGTTCTTGATCATGAAGCTCTAATAATTTGTCGCGTCAAGGGGTATCACATTGTAAACAGAATACCGCAAGCAAATACCGCCAAGCTGCCATTTCCTCTTCCATTTATAGTTATAACACAGTTTATAACACTTTTATAACACAATATATAAAATAGTATATTACATATTTATAACGTATGTGTGTAACGCATGCTAATATTGTTATATATCATTCATGAAACAAATTAGAACAGAGTAATAAATAATATGTGAATCACATGGTTATATCGCTATATCATTTATAAAACAATTTTCTCAAACACATTTACAGCTAAAACACATGCTTATACCTACCTATTATTTATAACACAATATATATATAACACATTTATAACTAATATGTAAAACACATGCTTATACCTACCTATTATTTATAACACAATTTATATATAACACATTTATAACTGATATGTAAAACACATGCTTATACCTGTTATATCGATATATCGGTGCGCATTTCATGAAAGAACGCAATCTGTAGGTCACGGGCGAAAACTGACGATTTTATAATGTAAGGGTGATACCAAAAGAACACGATCACAATCATTAAATATTACCTTTCCTTTATACGCCGGATGTATTCTAAGGGACCTTTCATATCTCCCGTGTACATCATATGGTAGGACTGGCTGTAAGTTATATCACAAACCAAAACACGAACTGCTTGTCTGTAGCTGTGGTAGCTATCAATAATTCAGTGGCGAATTGGTAACTGATCAATAACATAAGAAAAGAAGAAATGCCTACGCTTTGTGCTGTCGTATGTATGGTAATGATCGATACGCCGGTAAAGGCAAGCAACCTGTTGCTATTGGTTTTAATGTGGTTCTCTGCAAGGTTATATCGTGGTGCACGGGAGACTCGTCCACGTGACGCCTCTATAATGGGTTGTCGGACAGGGTTAATCAGTCTCATTTGAACATACATTTGTAGTAGGTAGTTTGAGAAATGCGCCAACTTCAATAGGAAAAAATTACAAGACGAACTCAGCGAAGAGACGGAATTATAAGAAAGAGTAAACAATTAACACGTGTCCCACAATCTCTAAATACTGAACAATTTTATTACGATACACCACTTCTGGATGATATTACATCATAAGTTAATGCAAACGAGCACTGAGCACGTATGCCTGCGTGGATGTTTTATCATTTGTACAAGAGGTTTACTAAATAAATATTACGTCAGTAAGGTAAACACAGACCACTACAACACATCCCATTACAACATATCCCACCTACAGCACTGTGGCAAAATTCAGCTTGTCATGCATAAATGTATTACAAAATAAAAATATTTATTACCGATAATACAACATTTCCGATTAAAAATAGTAATAAAAGTGACAAAAGTAGGTTTTTTTTTAACACACGCTATGCATAATACTCACTCTTTGTTGAGCTTCTCCTATGACAAGTAACTTTTATTGATATTCAAATAGGTAATGCAATGAATTAATGTCGCAAAAATAATCAAATTTATCACTTGCTAATCACCCGTCATCCATTTTGACACAAAATTGAGCCTCAAGGGATTGCGGTATTCGAAAATACATCATTAATTTAAGACTGTCAGTACTTTAAATTTCCCAGATTATACCATAGCTATGACATGTGTAAGGAAAGGAGGACCAAAGATTGGTAAGAGTAAAATACCTTTGCCCTAAAATATAAGTTATAATTAGGAGCTTTTCACGAGAAACGGCTTACACAGTGCATCTCTTAAGTTCAGTATAAATACAGCTGAAGTGTAAGTTATTTGTATTCACATGTTAAAACAGTTGCACAGCACTTTGTCTCACCAATATTCTAAAAAATTACCATTGAAACATACCTGTAGACTAAGGTTATTTACATTGTTTCTAGAATAGCTTAGAAAACACATATACACGGTACAGGTAGCAGTGAAAAGTGAACTTAACAGAACGCTCTTTACTCTGGAATGGCTATTTACATTAGCTAATATTGGACATACATAACTGTTGTGACCTTGCGGTTTTTCCATTTTTGCTTTAATACCCTGAAAATGATGAAATACAGAATGCTGCATCTGCGTTTTCTTTAAGTTCAAACGAAGGCAAAGGTATCATTCAAACAGTTCGTTAGTGTTTTATTTTGATTTCATGCTCTGCCTTCGGTAAATTTCGGTATACTTCGGGATTTTTTTTCAGTCCTTCTGGTGATCAATTATAATTTTGGTAAATTATCGGAAGTTTAACACAAATCGCTTTCTCCGAAAATTGTAATTAAATTTCTAATGGTGAAGTATTGCCTTTCGATAACTATGATATTCTTCTCTGATCCATTTTTCCTTGAACATAACATTTGCCTTTCCCTATAAATTGCCGATAACCAACCACATTTTTATTGATCACTAGAAAGAACCCAATTTTAAAAACCACCAAATATACTGTAACTTACAGGTAGAAATCGAATTTATAATTAAACACTTACATGTATGAGATTTTTGACTAATACGTTCAGGTTCCTATTCTAATTAAACAAGTGTTCGTGTATCATACGCAGTATATCCAAATCTTCATAAAACATAATGGAAATACATGTTGCTGTGCACTAAGTTTAAAGCACATTCCCGTATATTAATTTTTGACGCTGTATACACGTCTATATACTGTACTCGACACGCATCCTAATTGCAGCACTTACGATATCATCGTTTTGATTAAGATAAATGTAGCGTGCATTTGGTAAGGGCCCGCCGGATATCACAGGCATTTGGTAATGCCCCGGCAGTTACATCAACGTGAGCCTTTAACTCGATGTGCATACTTGTGTTTTCTTGAAAATCTTCGGCGCGCTTTCCTTAAATTTGACACAAGCTTCTTTGTAATGTGATTAAACAGGGTGGAAGCATCTAATCCCACAATAAACACAACGATTCCCAGTATAATCAGGATAGAAAACGTGCCGATTGCTGATGCCCCGGGCGCCTCGACAGGGTTTTGGTTGCGGCGTCTTCGTGGTGTCACTTTCAGAAGTTGATCTGGGGCTGAAGTATGAAAGCAATAGTCGTTTTATTCTGTGCTGCTTCCCAGTAATCATTCAAAAAGTATTTGTATAGCTTTGTATAATTGTTGCTAAGTTGTTATGACTAGTGTAGAGAGCCTGTAAAATGTAATGTATGCATTTTAGTGCTCAATAAAGATTATTATTATTATTATGAAATTAAAATACTAAGTATCGATGGAATTTTAAAATATGGACCAAAAGGTCAAAATACACCCGAATTCTCAAAAACGCTTAAAAATCAGAACTAAATGATGTCGATGGGTAGCCATATCTCCACATTACCCCACATTGTAAAGTTTATCTCACACACTGGGTTCCCATTACCCAGATATCTTTGGCAATAGCCTGGGTCTAATATTTAAACTGTTGCAAACAATTGCCATAATAACACCATAATAAGTATGGTTAAATGCTTAATGTAAAAAAATCATCCAGCCCCAAGGGACAGCCCAATACATAAATTCTGAAGGGTCAGGCCACATCTCGAGACGAGATGGCAGAAATTACAGTGGGGAAAATTGGAACCATCCGTCCCCCGGAGACGGTACACTGAAATTCAGGCATGATTACATTATCTCTAACTTTTGTCACAAAAGTGCGGGGATAATTAACAAAAAATTGCATATATGTTGAACGTTTAACCCTAAATATTCATTTGTGTTATGCAACATATATGTCAGTACCTGAACCGTCTAATCCTTTCCCATTCCCTGTACGCTAAATATGCACCCTATCTATCTATAGCAAAACGGTTTATTCCACGAATACCCTGTCATCAATTACTGTAATCAACTATCTTCAGAACAGTGGAACACGTTGTGTTCTAGATGTAAGTTATACCTATGCATGGGGGTAATTCTGGTCTCCAGGTACCATAAATAGTGCAGTGGATCCATCTGGTGGTCGAGCCATCCATGAAGTAAGTGTTGTTATCACATGTGTATACAATGGTACTGCCCATTGTCACGTTGTAGGTGTCTTGGTACGTGGCATTCTGCACAGGTTGTGGGTCGGGACAGAGCGTAACTGAAACATTGGAAAATTACCTTGTGATGGCCGACACGAGCTCATTCCTTACTTTTGCATGTGAGAAAAAGAGTTATGTGATACTGTTATGTGCGAGAAAGAATTTGAATGACATAAATCATTTTATGACCATATATGACGTGTAAAAATTTAAATTGATACACTCTTATTCATGAAGGTCTATCTCATTCACTCTAAAAAAATGAAAGAAATAAAGTTTGTCTAAAATATCTATTTCACCTTGACATAAAGTGATGGAATCATTCCAAGTACCATTTTCCAAACAACTGACAACTTTTGTGATCACTCTGTTTGGAAATATATATCCGTGGTTGCAGGTCAGTGTCACTCGACTTCCAACATAGGTGTCGCCACTTGATATGACCGCATGGTGAGTCTGAATATCGGAACAGGGTGCAGGCGACGTGATTGGCGAGACAGAAGTGGTAACTTGAGATGAAAACATGGCTAGAGCTGTGGTAGCAGGGAATGTAGTGGAAACGATTTTTGTTGATCTTGTGGTAGTGTTAGTTGATGCAGTGGTATTGCTTGTTGTTGATGTTATGGTACTGTTTGTTGTTGATGTTGTGGTACTGTTTGTTGGTGATATTGTGGTATTGTTTCTTGTTGGTGTTGTTATACTGTTTGTTGGTAATGTTGTGGTAGGCCTAATGCTTGTTTTTAATGTTGTGGTACTGTTAGGTGGTGTAGTGGTACTGTCAATTGCTGTTGTTGTCGTACTGTTTGTTGGTGATGTTGTGGTCCTGTTTGTTGGTGATATTGTGGTACTGTAAATTGATGTTGTTGTCGCACTGTTTGGTGGAAATGTTGTGGTACTGTTAATTGTCGTATTGTTTGTTGGTGATGATGTTGTACCGTTTGTTGGAAATATTGTGGTACTGTTAATTAGTGGTGTTGTTGTGGTACTGTTTGTTGGTGATGTTGTGGTACCGTTTGTTGGAAATGCTGTGGTACTGTTAATCTGTGTTGTTGTGGTACTGTTTGTTGGTGATGTTGTGGTACTGTTTGTTGTTGGTGTAGTGGTACTGTTTGTTGCTGGTGTTGTCGTATTGTTTGTTGGTGATGTAGTGGCACTGTTTGTTGGTGTTGTTGTGGTACTGTTAATTGGTGTTGTTGCTGTACTGTTTGTTTGTGATGTTGTGGTACTGTTAATTGGTGTTGTTGCAGTACTGTTTGTAAGTGATGTTGTGGTACTGTTTGTTGGTGATGTTATGGTACTGTTAATTGGTGTTGTTGTCATTATGTTTGTTGGTGATGTTGTGGTACTGTTTGGTGCTGATGTTGTGGTACTGTTTGTAAGTAATGTTGTGGTACTGTTATTTGGTGTTGTTGCTCTACCGTTTGTTGGTGATGTTTCAGTACTGTTTGTTGGTAATATTGTGGTACTATTATTTGCTGTTGTTATGGTACCGTTTGTTGTTGGTGTTGTGGTACCGTTTGTTGTTGGTATTGTGGTACTGTTTGTTGGTATAGTTGTGGTACCGTTTATTGGTGTTGTTGTGGTAATGCTTGTTGGTGATGTTGTGGTACTGTTAATTGGTGTTGTTGTCGTTATGTTTGTTGTTGATGTTGTGGTACTGTTAATTGGTGTTGCTGTACTGTTTGTTGGTGATGTTGTGGTACTGTTAATGGGTGTTGTTGCAGTACTGTTTGTTGGTAATGTTGTGGTACTGTTAATTAGTGTTGTTGCTGCACTGTTTGTTGGTGATGTTGTGGCACTGTTTGTTGATAATGTTGTGGTACTGTTCATTGGTGTTGTTATGGTACCGTTCGTTGGTGATGTTGTCGTACTGTTTGTTGGTAATGTTGTGGTACTATAATTTGCTGTTGTTGTGGTACTTTTTGGTGATGTTGTAGTACTGCTTGTTGGTGATGTTGTAACACTGCTTGTTGGTGATGCAGTGGTACTACTTGTTGGTGATGTTATGGTACTACTTGTTGGTGATGTTTCAGTACTACTTGTTGGTGATGTTGTGGTACTACTTGTTGGTGCTGTTTCAGTACTACTTGTTGGTGCTGTTTCAGTACTACTTGTTGGTGATATTTCAGTACTACTTGTTGGTGATGTTTCAGTACTACTCGTTGGTGATGTTGTGGTACTACTTGTTGGTGATGCAGTGGTACTACTTGTTGGTGATGCAGTGGTACTGCTTGTCGGTGATGTTGTGGTACTGCTTGTTGGTGATGATTCAGTACTGTTTGTTGGTGATGTTGCAGTGCTGTTGCTCATTGGTGATGTGGTGTTCAAAAGCACGGATGTGTATTCATTCGGAGAGGTGGCACCTGAAACAGATTTAAGATGGGTATATAGTTTTAGCTTATTGTTATATCAAACCTCGTGGAAACCATAAAATTAACATTTAACAGTGAGACAGTACTCACAGAGATTAAAAATAGCTCTATTGGCTTCTACATCCCATGATCATATTTCCCTCAGTATTTTTTTATTTAAAAATGATCAAGTCTATTTATACTGTACAAATACATTAAGGGTACATTATCATCAGATCTAGTCGGTTGTGGCGATGTTCTTCAGCTCCTTTCATACGACAGTAGAAAACATTTTAAGGGTAACTTTTAAATTTAAACAATGGTAATGTAAGAATCGCGACGTACAAGTCACATTGTATGTAATAAGACCGTGCTGTAGAAAACTGGGCACATTGTGTGCCACTTGATCAGGACGTACAAGATATCGTATGTCACATGAATCTTGGCATACAATGTCACATGATCATGACGTACCACCACTACAAGTCGGTGTATGTCACATGATCATGACCTGAATATCATGTACCAATCCCTGATCACTAAAGTAAATATTTAACACTACCTGAGGGAATCGCTTTTTTTTATAAGTACTTCATTCTTATGGCTAAACGAGAATTCGAAATGTTGCTCTGAAATGTATAAAAAGCGGCGGAAAATAATTCTCATCAGCGTCACTTATTTTGAATTAAAATACAATCTATTTATGCTAAATGATAAAACATTTAGCAATATCATACGCGAAGGACAGCGCTCTCAAGTGTAATATATCTTTGATTGATGTGAGCATATCCCATGGTCGACTTTATAGCAAGGATGGCATTTATTTCCCTGCAGACATTTTATTAAAATAAAAAGACCAAATAAAAAATAAATATTGTTAAAGTTTGAAAAATAAATATCTTCTATTTAGGTATTTTAGTATTTGTCACATCAACAACCGTAATGGTTTATCAAGAGTATAGATCCCACCGTTTAATGCGGTGCATATAATGACCATTGGCAAGAAATGCAACTTTCCTTCAGTTAAAGACAATTCGATATTTTAACGCCAAAACGAATTTTCTTCAGGAAGAAGGAGTCTTCTTTACTCATGAATCATTGCTCGACCCATCCCTGATCTTGGATTTGATGTTTAATGCCAGTTTTATATACATACACTTTAAGAGTCTGTATTTATTCTGATCACTGTCTTTGTCAGTGTAATCGCCATTCGATCGAAATATACTAATAACAGTATATTTCTTCAAATTGCACCACACATTCCTCTCAGCGCTGTTTACATATAAAAATTGATTAACCAACATCAATTTAAACAAATATTAAAGCAATTACACCTATGGGACATAATCTAATCAAAATGTTCTTTGAATATTTTTACAAAGTTTCTTTTAATTATTTGATGATTATCATTAAGAGAAAATATTGTATTTCTTAATGAAATTAGACCATGAAATTGGTACTCCAGTGTCAAAATTCTTATCCGAGCTTCACGAAATTAATTTCAAAGCCAAATGACGATCCAGTTTCGTTTTCGGTATCACAGCTCAATTTTGCATGTATGTTAAAGAAAGCCACCCTGAGCTTCAGAGATAACTTGACACTAACCTCTTCACTATAGCCTATCTTCATCGTGTCAAGTTACCTCTGACGAAAATAGTTTGACCTAGTTTATATAAGCCAATCGAATCCAAGTTTCAAAATTTTTCACCAAAGTTTGGTGAAAACGCTGATTGGTTGATCGTCAATCGGCAATCCTCGGCTGATTCCGCAAGCTCCATACTAACAACAAAGTTATTGTCGAGTGCAGAGACATCCGAGTAGTTCCGAGTGCATAACCCTACACAAAGAAAGCATGGCGTCTCCTACGAGTCACTACGTAAAATAATGTGTTAAGTTATCTCTTGATTCTTTGCAAAATATGAGTATATCGGAGTTGAAACCAGAGCAGTTTGAGGCCCTGCATCATTATCTACTGAGGGATGATGTATTTTGCGTGCTGCCCACAGGTTACGGTAAGTCCCTGATATTCAGCCTTATCTTTGATTGGTCCGGATTTGAACAAAGCGCGCTTTGACTAGTTCGCGTTCATTGGCTAGAATCGTTCAATGAGTCATTGAGTGCGGGCTTTAAATTTGATTGGCGGGCGGCGGGGGCAATCGAATGTGGTCAGAGGTAACTTGACACGATGAAGATAGGCTATTGTGAAGAGGTTAGTGTCAAGTTATCTCTGAAGCTCAGGGTGAAGAAAGCATGATCTTAAGAGGAATAAAGAATGAAAAAGTCACCGAACCTCTGTAGTTTCTACATTTCATGAAATATTTTAATCTTAAAAGAGCACTTGGCTTACCGCACCAGCCAAGTTAAAACAACACTGATATACTATCAAACACATATTAAACGGATGATGGGAGGCAATGGGAGGGCAACAATATAAAAGTCTTTATATCTGCATAATATTATCACGTGAGTATGTGTCCTTGGTGCTCAAAATCAAAGCTATCATTAAATATGCGGTCCTTAGCTTCGGACATGACTGATAAGAATAAATGTGTAAAATGAAACTCACCATTTAGGTCGATGACACCGTCTGTATGTAGAAGTATGTCATTTTCACAGTCTAAGCCAATCCTCTCCCACAAGGTGGCCATATCTAGACGAGATAATGGGATGCCATACACTCGCAAACACGACATACGCCCAGAAAACTCATAAAATCCATCAACACTTCCTAATGTTATATTTGTAATAGAAATGCCCTGCAGCAGTGAAATGGTGTTAACTGCTTGCAATTTACCATGTTCATATATTTGAACGAGTCCTGAATTACTGGTATGCGTTATTCCAAATGATAGCCATGTGGTCTCAGCCGATTTGATAAAATCAAAGAGCCATGTTTTATCCAAATAAACAAATTTAACTGTTATTGTAGAATCAGCCGCAGCTCGCAACTGCAACTTAATGTGTTTTCCTGGCGTGGTTCCCATTTGAACCAGTCCCCGTGCCTGTGTAGTCAGTGGTTCAAAGTTCAATATAACCGTGGTGGAGGTGCCGGGTACCAGGAAGTTGACGGACACGGAAGAGGGAGGAGACACCCCATCGAAAGCTACCCCTCCCCAAAGCCAGTCTGGGTCTGAATACCACGTGGTTCCATCATATGTGATGAAGTCGTCATCAGACTCAAAGACACTTGTTTGCTGATCATCTGTGAGAGGCCACAAACCTTGCAGCGGAAAGAAGTCTGAAGATAAATACACCAGTAAGGTTATAATACAAGCCGAACTTTTTGTCTACCATTGTTAGCTTAAGATCAACATCATCAGGGGCCTTCACCAGACTGATGTGTTATAGTGAACGTTGTAGATCTAACTGAGATGGAATGTTAAGATCAACATCATCACGGGCCTTTACCAGACTGATGTGTTATATTGAACGTTTTAGATCTAACTGAGATGGAATGTTAAGATCAACATCATCAGGGGTCTTCATCAGACTGATGTGTTATAGTGAACGTTGTAGATCTAACTGAGATGGAATGTTAAGATCAACATCATCAGGGGCCTTCACCAGACTGATGCGAAATAGTTTAAGTTGTAGATCCAACTGAGATGGAATGTTAAGATCAACATCATCAGGGGGCTTGACCAGACTGATGCGAAATAGTTAAAGTTGTAGATCTAACTGAGATGGACGTTAAGCATTTTTGGGAACACTATTTAACCATTAAAATAGACATATTTTATTGGAATGTTTTAACTTTTGTTTTTTCATGTTTACTTATGCTGTGAAATCTAGAAAACACTATGCATTTTTTTTTTTGGGGGGGGGGGGGGGGGGCCAAGAGGTTTTCCAGGAAGAAGGTTGGGTGTTTTAGTAAGGCTTTTGACGAGAGCAAAGTTTTCTAACAAGTATAAACAAGCATTTGTATTCATACTGGTTATGAAATTACACTTACCGTGGCTTGGGACTGACAAATTTCCAAACATAGCAATGGGGCAGTCTGACTCCATGTATTCAATAAATGTGCGCGCACTTTCTACATTGAATCCCTCATCAAATATACAAAGACAGGAAAGTTTCCCCGAAAAACCATTGGATCCATATGTGAAGCCTAGTGTTATATTGTATATGTATGGGAAAGCATCAGGTTCAAAATAATGAATACGTCCTAGACTTATCCCGTTGAATATGTATACTTGTCCCGAATTACTGTCAAAAACTATGCCAATGAGGTGCCATTCGTCCTGTGTATCAAAAACTCCATTTAAGACCAGTTCTTCAAATTGTAATGTTACTTCTAAAATTCCATTTCTATATCTGATAATGACAACAATAACCCCTTCAGTCGAAGACAGATGCATCACTCTGCCCCAGCTACTGGAGTCCAGGGCGATGTAAAAATAGACTGCAAAGCTGGGGCCATGTTCGTTTAGCAGTAGGATACCCGTGGAAGTTGACCACAGAAAGCCAAGCGCCTCCATAGCATAATGGGTGGGTCCAAAGACCAAATCCATGTTGTATATTTCTATCGCTTGTTCACGTCCCGTGATATCTTCATTTAGGTAGTCGAAATTTAACGGATACACGGCAATGGGATATGGCACACCTGGAACGGAAAGGCCAATCATTACATGTAGATAATGTAGAAAATGTACAGTTGCTGACGATTACTATAAATATGTTAATAGATAAAGCAAATTGGTTTGGGCTGTCAAGTGTAAGGGATGCCCCAGAGAACTGTTAAAATGTCTGTCTGGCATACCTCTATCGAACGGGACGGCTGGAAAGGATTCCACGGGGCAACCATCGTTCAAGTAGTCTGCATAGTAATATATACTTTCGACAGGAAGAGCTACATCAAACAGAAGGATGCAGGCTAATTCACCTATGAAACCGTCGTTACTACCGCTGTTTCCAAATAGAATGGACGTTACATTCCCAAGGGTTGTTTCTTTCACACTG